TTTTGAATGTGCTTTCTAACTCACCTTTTAATTTCCCGACGGTTTGCGTCATCACATCGGTGAGATGCTCAGCTAACGAAAGTATATCAAAACTACGCGCTCCGTAATTTTCATTAGCGGTTCTGCGTCTCTTATTTAAATTAGTATTGAGTCTTTGACTCTGTCTCCTCCCGTGTTGCGACGCGTCGAGATTTCCTCGCGCGTCAGCAGCACCGAAATCGAACGATATATCGTTTAAAAAGTGCTCACCTGTGAATTCGGCGCTTGCGGATTCACTGGGAGGGTTTTTATGCCCCTCCGGCAAATCGGCCGATTTTCGATGATGATCGTCCATCTTTTTAGCCAAATGATGACATCCGAGTAAAATTTTCTCTCTACAATTGAGGGGTAGTGGACATCTAGCAACAAGCATATAGTATGTAATCACATAGTATGACTGATTCCATCGGTCGATTCCGATATCGAAAGGTTGCAGGTTCGAGCCCTGCGTCGGTCAAGGCCGGCTGGCTCAATGGTAGAGTATTCGACTACGGCTTTGTGATTACATTTTGCTTTTTTATTTGAATATATATATATTTTTATATGATTTATCTTTGCAAAACTGTCGTAGATGACTCTAGTTTTCTATTTATATTTAATTGTTACTCTTGAAGATAACACATAAGTTCAGTTTTAAATATAAATTACCACTCTATGATAGATTGTGAACCTTTTGACATGGTAGGTGTTTGAATATCTGGCTTATACCACGCTATTGAATAGTTTTACAAGTTTTTAGAAGTACCTTAGTGGACTTTGATCTTATTTGAAATGTGCGGATGTGTGATTATGAGATATTTTCAAAAGAGCTCTCGATCAGTCAAAATATGAATTGAGGCAATCCAAACAATATTGTGTTGATTTATCAGGTACGTGAAAAATTGTTTCGTGCTGCAAGTTATCAAAGGATGAAGAATAAAGCTCTCCAGAAACGATAGGATTGAAACAAATAGCTGTTATTACTTAATCATCATAAATGATACTCAGACGCATGTCCTCGTTGTATCAATAGCGCCCGCAGTACATAGAATTTGGACGTAGCAAGCAAATATAATATAAAGCAAATTTATATTGCCATCTTATCATAGAATCAATTAGAATTAGAAAAATTTTTGACCTTGATATTTTATGAACTGATCTCGCACTGGACCCGTCTCATCAAGCGATCTTCTCTCTTTTTATAAACTACAATGAGTCGTCCAGAAAACGTCGGTATAAAAGGAATTGAAGTCTACTTCCCAAAGAGAGTATGTATTTATTATAAATTACACCACAACTTCTTACGTTTCCCCAGTGCATCTCAGAAACTGATTTAGAACAATTTGATGGTGTATCTGCTGGAAAGTACACAATTGGATTTGGACAACAATACATGGCATGCTGTGATGACAGAGAAGACATCAACTCATTTGCGTTGTCTGGTTCGTGATGATTTTCTACTTAAATGATCTCCTTACATGTAAAATAGCTGTCTCTGGTCTTCTCAAGAAGTACAATGTTGACCCAAAGAACATTGGTAGATTAGAAGTCGGTACTGAAACCATAATCGACAAGTCAAAGTCAACTAAGACCGTACTTATGGATCTTTTCAAAGAATCTGGTAACACTGACATTGAAGGTACGTAAATCTCAGTATATCGTTGATTCTTTTTAACAATTGTCTAGGTATTGACACCAAGAACGCTTGTTATGGTGGTACTTCAGCACTTTTCAATGCAGTAAACTGGGTTGAATCATCCAGCTGGGATGGTAGAGACGCTATCGTCGTCGCTGGTGATATTGCCATCTACGCTGAAGGTTCAGCTAGACCAGTCGGTGGTGCCGGTTGTGTTGCTATGCTCGTTGGTCCAAATGCACCAATTGTTCTTGAACCAACTCACGGCACTTACATGACAAACGCATGGGACTTCTACAAACCAGATCTCAACTCTGAATACCCAGAAGTAGATGGACCACTCACAATTGACTGTTACTTCGGATCACTCGACAACTCATACGATGCATACCGTGAAAAGTACGCAAAGCGTACACAAACCAAGAAGGAAGATGTCAAGGGAGATAACTTTGACTACATTGTCTTCCACTCACCATACGGCAAGTTGGTACAAAAGGGTCATGCAAGACTTACCTACAATGACTTCGTTTCAAGCCCAAGTTTGTCCAAATTCGAAGGTATTGACCAAGCCATCGCCTCAGTACCACGTGCTAAGACTTACTTTGACAAGGCTATTGAAAAGACTTTCATGACCGTAGCCAAGGATTCTTACGCTAAGCAAGTTGAACCATCATCAACCACCTGCAAGCGTCTCGGAAACATGTACACTGGATCACTCTATGGTGGTTTAGCTTCCCTCGTCTCAAACGTCGAATCAACTGAGTTGCAAGGAAAGAGAGCAGGTATGTATTCTTACGGATCAGGTTGCGCAGCTTCCTTCTTCGCTGTCAAGTTTGTTGGTTCAACAAAGGAGATCGCCGATGCTATTGACTTGCATAAGCGTCTTGACTCAATGAAGGTCGTTCCAGTCACTGAATACGTCTCATCCCTTAAGACCCGTGAAGAGAACCACAATGCTAAGTCATACAGTCCAAAGGGAGATGTAGACAACATTTGGGGTGGTGCATACTATCTCGACAACATTGACGAGAAATACCGTCGTCATTACAAGCAAGCACCCCTCGCTTAAATTGATAACTGCAATGCAGAAATAAATGCCCACCCTTGATAGAAAATTAATTGTTTAGATAACATTGTATTTAGCAGTATTCCATTGTTTAGGATTGTTTAACCTTTTTGTGTTGTGAAACAAGAGACGTTATGGCAAATACAATATTTTCTGACCGACAAAGAACGAACGTATTGATATAACTAATTTTAGAAACAAAGGATATAGACAAATGAAACCAGTTCAAGTCCGTGTTAATAATGTTAAGAGAAAGATACTTTTTTTTTGTTATTTTCTTATTCAACGTTCCCACTTTTTGAAAAAAAATTAGCTAGCGTTGTTGCACTCTAAACCACTTAGTGCTTCTGAGCGAAAGCTTCACGCTTAGCGTGGCGTTCAAAGCGACGTGCTGAACGCTTTCTGTTAACGGTGTTTACGACAGCTGGGCCTTGCAACATATTCAGCATTGATTCCTTTATAATAAATATACACACCTGGAATGTCGAAGTTTTCAATTCCGTCAGGACCTGGGGTGTAAATGTTGACGATTGCATCGCCAGTTGAGTACATGCTTCTAGCTGGAGTCTCTGGTGCCCAGATAGGGTCGACGCCATCCTTAGCCTTGACATTCAATTGAACACAAGCTGGGTAGTATTGTGGACCACCAATTGGTGTCTCAGCTGTACCATCGAGATCATCAGCTGAAGATAAGTTAATCAACTCATGACGAAGGATGTATTGTCCCTCTGGTGTTGATTCAGGGATCTAGGCGATTTAATTAGAAATACATTGATAAATCCTTTCCACTTACGGTGACGGTGTGCCAGCTACCGTAGTTACGTGACATGTCATCCTAAACTAAGTTAGAAACTTCCTGAGTTGAAAGGTAATCACTAACCATGGCCCAAAGACCATTTCCTGATGGTCTTGATGGCCAGAAGCCTTGGTCAGGACGAGCTTGACTTGAATCGAGACCAGCTGTGAAACTCTTAGTAAGACACTCATGAAGTAATTAATTATTCCTACCTTGCCAGATCTTGTAAACGCGAGCATTACCGTATGACGAATAGAATTGAGTACAGTCACCATCGCAGCGCATCAAGTAGTCCAAAACAGGACCCTCGTAGTGACCCCAGTAGTCGCCAGTAGGACCTAAAAATTGGCCATATTAATCATAAAGAAAATTTTTCAATCAAAATGCTCACCTCTGTCACCCTTCCAGCGAAGTTTGACTTGATCACCAGCGGTGATATCAGCAGTAACTGATACTGGGTTTTGTCCGTTGGTACCACAAACGATGTCATCAGTGTTTACATTGTAGTAAGCGACGTATGCACCATCAGATGGCATAGCTCTAACAGGAGAGTTATCATTTGCAGAACCATAGTTTGCACCGTTGTACCATTGATCACCAACCCAGACTTCACTGACGACACCGTGGGCGGCAGTGTATGCAGCGAGGGAGGCTAAAGCGAGCTTTGAGAACATTGTAGGATCGTAAGTGAAAAGAGGTTGAAGGAGTTTTAGGAAAATAGGTTAGTTAAAAGAGCCTGTCTTTAAAAACTTGTGGTTATAAATAACGATGCCTGAAAATAGGAGTTCTTAAGAATCCAGATCTCATTGTCCGCATGTGTGCCTTAACCTGAAATACCTCGTTCCATGTCAACAGAAGTGAGTTACTAGAAACAACTATAATAAAGTTGTCTTTGTTTTTTCAAGGAAAAAATCTTTTATTTGACTCAAAATTAACCCTTCAGTTACAATAAATCACCTTCTCAATCGAATAAATGCTGGTGGTATAAATAACATCAGTGTCGTAATAAAATTACAAAATATGATTTAAAGACGTGCACTCTTTGGCATCTATGAGAAATTTAGTGGTATTCTCAGGTATGCTATCTCACTCACCTGTCTCATTGCTTGACGTATACCGAGGTCACCTAAAATCTCTGCAGTCTTGTCAGTAAGCTTTAGTGAATGCTCCCTTGCGCACCTTCAGAGCCGCCTAATAAGCCTACGTGGAGGTTAATTGTGATCTTAAAATAGTAATTCACTCACTGTTGAATTTATATGTGCGGTTAAACTAATAATCAATAATCGTTAAAGTGAACAATAATGACTCACCATTTCAATGTTACGACCCATACCGGTTTGAGTAATCGCTCTGCCTCCGAAGATCTATTTTTGAGTCAGTGTTGATCGTAAATCGAGGGAGTACCCACTTGGACAGCATCATCTGCGACGCTGTTCTCAACTCTCGTGCATTGCATCTTGAGTAAGGCAATAGGGCCAGCGAGGTACCTAGATTGTTCCTTGTAGGACATCTTCAGGTACATTAGACTGCGTGGATGCTTTTAGAATATACCTACTTTAGTCATTTGGAAGCCAATGTATTCCAGCCATGCTTGAAGTGATTCAGCTTTGGCTACCATACCGGCGAGCTTGTAGCGTATGACTGGCTGACCAAGTAAAGTTTTGCCGAAGACCTTGCGCTGATTTGCCCATTTGAAGCACTCCTCGATAACGAAGCGAATAGACCTGACAGATGCGGTAGCCATAACAAATCTCTCGTGATTAAAATTAGAGAGGATGACCAAGAGGCCACCATCTTCTGGACCGAGGGTGTTCTCAACGGGTACTTTAACGTCTGTGAGGCATTTGTAAGAGTTGAAGGTACTATAAAGCGAGGAAAACCCACCGTCAAAGGTAATGAATGCGGTACCTGCTGTAGTGGAGTAGCTTGTCTTGATTTGCTCGGTTGAGACACCTTCAGTGCGCTCTACGAGGATCATAGTAAGACCGCCTTCGGTCTTGCAGCCAACGCTGAAATAATCAGAGAATGTACCATTCGTAATCCACTTTTTGGTACCGTTGATGATCCAATGCTTACCATCTTCCGATTTCTTGGCCGTTGTACGGAGATTTGCGACGTCTGAGCCAGCGAATGCTTCACTTATAGCGAGTGAGATGAACTAAAGGGAAGAGTTAGATAAACGTTTACACGTAACAGTATGAGCTCACTTTTTCACCCGAAAGAACTTCTGGAATGATACGCCTGTGATTTTTAGTTATGTCAAAAATAGAAAGAGGTGTCTTACTTCTTTAATTCCTCGCTACCGAAATTGAGGACTGGAGGTAAACCTATGACCATACCTGCAAGAAGACCATCGCCATAGCCACGCTGACCATGACGTACAAGTTCCTGGTTGATAACCATTTCATGAATGTAATCGAACTCCTCGGGCTTGACAATGCCCTCGGCGAGTGTACGACCGTGAAGATGCTTGCCAGGGCCGAGTCGCATAGCGTTAATTTCATATTGACTGGTATTGTCTTAGTATTTGTAAAGTTGCTAATTGTAACTTACGCCATTTTCTTGACGACGTCATCTGAGAATCTTTTGCCATCCTTCTCGCGTGCGATAGCATCTGGGGTGATAACTGTGTCTACAAACTTTCTCATCCACTTCTGCAAAGCTTTGTGGGACTAGACGGCGTTAAAAAGGGTGATTAACTTTGTTGGTAACTTACATCATTGTAATATGGCGAATGGTAAGCTTTTGAAAGCCAACTTGGTTCACCATATGGAACTAATGTGAGTTTTATTTAGAAAGCATTCACTATCACAACCCCACACACCCTCAGAAAGATCACCCGGTTGTGGGAATTTAACTATTGGTTTCTCATTTTCGACTTGACCGACAATTAAGCGCTTGTATTGCGGCTTCTGGAGAACTTCCACGCTGAGTATATCTAAGAGGGTGTCTATCGTAAGAAATTGGCGCACCGATGGAGGTTGAAAAATTGCTCCGTAGCATCCTGACCTGCAACTTCTTCATCTAGGAAGACAGAAGCTCCACCTGGGTGCATGTTCATGAATCTTAGAGACTTTTAGATAGGTCATTCAGTATAAACATGACGAACTTGGAAACATCGTAGATCTAAAAATTGTTAGAGATGCTGGAAGCTAACACAGAAAGTTAGGACTTACCATACTATCTATAACGATCCAAACTGTATTCGGAGTGTGAGCGGGGTATTACCGGTTAATAGGCTACTTACGATCACCTTTGGTATTGTGCTGAGGGGAGATAAGAAGATATATTATAGATATAGTAGAGGGCACACCTTGCTTATATCATCTCTCGAGTAAATCTTTGTTGACATCTTGGTTGTTAATGATAAAGGTGTCACACCGATGGACCTATGAACGGGGGCGCATAGGTCATCTGACGAGACGTATAGAGATTTGTATATAAAGAGCATAACAGAATAAAGTAAAATAAAATAAATGGTTTGATCTCTAATAAGAAGGTAGCAAACGAATATAAAACCAGGAAATCATGATATTAAAATAAAGAAAGAGAAAGGATTACATTTTATTCTTCAAGTTAGTTGAAAGCCACTCTAAACCTTCGTATAAACCGTCACCGGAGGTTGCGCAGGTTGCTTGGATGTACCAAGTGCGTTGGCGGAGGGAGTGCAAGCCCAATTTATCAGTGATCTCAGCTGCGTTCATAGCATTTGGCAAATCTTGCTTGTTAGCGAAAACGAGGAGGTGAGCGTCTCTCAATTCATCTTCATTGAGCATTCTTTGTAATTCTTCTCTGGCTTCTGTAACTCTCTCTCTGTCGTTTGAGTCGACGACGAAAATGATACCTTGGGTGTTTTGGAAGTAGTGTCTCCACAAAGGTCTGATCTTGTCTTGTCCACCAACATCCCATACGGTGAAGGAGATGTTCTTGTATTCAACAGTTTCGACGTTGAATCCTATACAAGGTATAAGATGATGTCGACGGTTGATTAGTAGGACCTACCGATAGTTGGGATTGTAGTGACAATTTCACCTAACTTGAGCTTATAGAGAATAGTTGTCTTACCCGCAGCGTCAAGACCAACCATCAAAATACCTGTTATAGTTAGTTATAAGTGATAGTCATTCCTATAAAGACTCACGCATCTCCTTCTTCCCAAAGAGCGTGGAAAGGAGCTTAGAAACTGATAAACCCATTATACTAATATAATATTAATACTTTATTATACTTGCTATAACTATGTACTTACACGCTACTTGACCGTCTAACTCAAAGCAGCTGCGACTTGCTAGACCAGCTCATCGCATCATTATAAAAAAAATCTAATATTTATTATTTATTGTCATATTATTAATATTTACATAAAATAGTAGATTCATCTATATATACAATTCACCCAGACTGTCAAATTATCTGATATAAAAACAGCTGTATAGATACATATTGAGAAGGGATTTAACTAGTTATATAAGATCAAAATAAAGATATGAAACACGTAAAATTAAAATTTATTCATCCCTCCCAGAGAACAGTCGAGCCATCAAAACGATTTCATTTCCTTTCCTGACCCGAGAAATATAAATGGTGAGCAAAAAAATTTATAATTCATACAATTTATAACATATATACAGTCAAAAGCTACGCCATAGTGGGTATATTACACCAAATATTATTATATCTTAACAATTACACTAGCAAATTGAGCGTATTGGGTGATGGTGGTGTCGGTAAAACTGCTTTGACTGTCCAGGTTAGTTTTACGCTTATTATACGCGCACTCAGTTAACGTTATCAGTTTTGCATGAACTCATTCGTCGAAACTTACGATCCAACTATCGAGGATAGCTACAGGAAGCAAGTCGTATTAGATGACGCGCCTGCATTACTAGAGGTATTAGATACAGCTGGACAAGGTCCGTATTCTTTAGCTCGATGACATGGACCCTTCTCACGACATTCTCAGAGGAGTACACTGCTTTACGCGATCAATGGATTAGAGAAGGCGAAGGATTTTTATTAGTCTACAGTATAGCATCTAGAAGCACATTTGACAGAATTGAAAAGTTCCGAAATCTAATCACACGAGTGAAGGAAAGGGAGGATATACCACTAATGTTGGTAGGAAACAAATGCGATAAGGTATACGAACGTGAAGTTAGCCTCGCAGAAGGTCAGATAATGGCAAAAAAGTTACAATGTTTAATGATCGAAACTAGCGCAAAAACCTGCGTTAATGTAGAAAGAGCCTTCTTCGATGTCGTTAGAGAGATTAGGCGGCAAAGGGAGAGAATGAACGGCTCAAATTATGACCCAAATAATCACCAACAGAGGAGAAATCAACGTAAACGAAGATGTACGATCCTCTAAACTAGTCTCATATACCTCGACAAGCCATCCAGCCATTCTGATATCAATTAAACTTCTTTGTCTACGATCTACGATCTTTCATACATGTCTTCTCTTGCCAAGAGGTCTGAGCGTGGGTTGATGTTCCAAGTGACTGATTAGTAGTGTCCATATAATAGTTTCTACGATTAGTAATCACTATAAACATCTATCCAATTTGAGCTTCATACTAAGCTTATAAGACATAGAAAAATAACAAGAAAATGACTGTGATTTACAACATAGAGCTATCCTAGAACCAAAAAAATAAGAAATTAATATTCGTACGAGAGGATCATGTAATACATCTTTAATTACCTCTCTGGTCTGATTTTTATCGCGGGGCGAAATGAACTGACTTTTTTTTAACATCCAACTTAGTCACATCAATGGTCAATAGTACTGCAAATTATTATTGGCAAGCAGAAGCTAGCCAGAGTAATTCAAGCAATGCAGTCTTTACCTCAGTACTCGTCGTAGTTGCTTCACTTCTAATATTAGAACAGGCTGTCTACAAATACAAGAAGGGTCATTTGCCGGTATGTATTCTATTTTACAAAAAATTATATCACTAAAACACTCTATAGGGACCATCCTGGTCAATTCCTGTAATCGGTAGATTTGCTGATAGTTTGAACCCAAGTCTTGAGAATTACATGAAGGGATGGAAATTGGGTGATTTATCAGCTGTATCGGTATTTAATATGTGAGTGAATTAATTACTTTTACAACATTTCTCACACCCCCCTCTCAGTTTCATCGTCCAAGCCGCCAAGAATGAATACGCTAGGAAGATATTTAGCAGTTCTACATACGCTGAGCCATGTTTAGTTGCATCTGCTAAGAAGGTCTTAGATCCAAATAACTGGGTCTTCTTAAACGGAAAAGTTCACTCTGATTACCGTAAAGGTTTGAATGTCTTATTCACAAGAAAGGCACTATCAAGTTATCTTCCAATTCAAGAGGGTATTTACAGAAAGTACTTCGATCAATGGACAAAAGATAATACTCCTAAGAGCTACATGATGGCCATGCGTGACTTAAATATGGAAACTTCCCTTAAGGTGTTCTGCGGTGATTATATCCCAGAAGACGCACAACAAGATATTAGTGATAAATACTGGTTAATTACCGTCGCATTAGAACTCGTAAATTTCCCATTCGCTTGGCCTGGTACTAAGGTTTATAATGCCATCAAGGCCCGTAAAGTTGCCATCAAATGGTTCGAATATGCATCTGCACAATCAAAAATCAAAATGGCAGAGGGTCATGAACCAGAATGCCTTATCGATCACTGGACAAAAGCTATGATTGAAGCAAAGAACAATTCAAATGACGATACTTCATCAAAGGTTTTACGTGCGAGAGAATTTTCAGATAACGAAATTGCAATGGTCGTTCTTTCATTCTTGTTTGCTTCACAAGATGCTATGACATCTGGTGTTGTTTACATTTTCCAATTGCTCGCTGATAACCCGGATATTCTCGCTAAAGTTCGTCAAGAGCAATTGAAGGTTAGAGGTGGCGATTTAGAATCACCAACAACACTTGAAATGCTTGATGAGATGACATACACTAGAGCATGTATTAAGGAATCACTCAGAGTTAAACCACCTGTAATCATGGTTCCATATCTCACTAAAAAGGCTTTCCCAATTACTGAAAATTACACAGTTCCAAAGGGAACAATGTTAATTCCATCAATCTATCCATCACTTCATGATCCAAACGTCTATTCTGATCCTGAATCTTTCATTCCGGAGAGATGGTTAACTAAAGAAAATGGTGAAGCATCAGATGCAGAAAAGGCAGCTTCTAATTACTTAGTTTTCGGTCACGGTCCTCACAATTGTCTTGGAAAGGAATACGCTATTTTGCACATGACTGCATTAATCGGTTGTGCAAGTGTCTTAATGGACTGGGAACATATCATCACTCCAGAAAGTCAACAAGTTCAAGTTATTGCTACTATCTTCCCTAAGGATGGCTTCATCGCTAAATTTAGCAAGCGTGAACAAGTAGCTTAAAGGCACTTACCAAATTTTTTTTTGAAATTTCCCACTGGTTACTGATTTTATAATAAACACACTAATACAATTTCTTCAGATAGATTTACCCACACACACATTGTAATAATCGAAACATATTATAAATAAAATAACATTAAACAGTTAAAATCGACGAGTGTTGCTTACAATTACGCCAAAGTGGGCGTTTTTGTATTAATTATCTTTAAAAATTGATGTTAAGCTAATAAAATATTAAAAATACAACCCAATAACACTACAAGGTTACCCTGCTATTCCATCAAATAGTAACTGGGTTGCTCGTTCATATTCTACTGGACTATGATCTGTAAACATTGACTTTGAGAAAAAGGGTTCATTGAATCGCTTCTCGACGTTTTGACAGTAACGCAAAATGACTCTATGGGCTTCTTGTTTATAGGCAGAAGAATACCCTTCATTGCCATCACCGTCGTCTTCCGCAAGGCTCACGAAACAGGTTGATCTTTCAACGACGAATACCTGGTAAGTTTCAGTCAGCCGAAGATGTTTTAAAGCAAATTCACACGAACCTCTCCTGGTGGATACAACTTAATTGAATCCATATCAGCACCAATAGTGGTCTTAAGACTCCACAACCAATCATTCAACTCATTATCATGGTTCACAGTATCAGCTTTAATCAATGCTGGATCTATATAACCAGGTTTGAGTATCGCATTGCTAGTATGTCCAATTTTTGCATCTTCTTTACTAATGAAGCTCACAATCTGATCGTGATCTCTCAATTTTTCATTAACTTGATCAAGGTTTGGCTTCTCATATGTATCGTCACTTCTATGAGTGCCACCAAATCCTAAAACACGTCCAATGATCTCATCCGCGATGTTCCCCTCCTCTTCATGTAACATTAATGCTAATTTACGCATATCATGAAGTAATCCAAGTGATAGTGTTGGTACTATATCTTTATTATTCACTACACTGATTATTAGTCCTTTCGCATAAGCTGTTAAATCTGGAGTTGATACGCATGGTGTACCATATGTATAACAACTCAATGGACGTCCAGGTGGTAGACCACTTTTAAAGCCTGTCACGAAACTTGTTGAATGTACATCGTCAAATGGGATACCCTTTTCCTTCGCTTGTTTATTAAATACATCAGTACGCGTACCCCAAATTAAGGCCAATGCTGCTGCTGCACCACCTCCCAGGCTATGTCCGCAGAGTACCAAACCATATTCAGGGAAATCAGAAAGTGCCTTTCTGATAGTTGACAAAACGGTGTTCGATTCTGAGGCTAATCTGTGAGCACTGATTAACATCCCCTGATGTATAGCATAGTATCCAAATGGATCTCCACCACCATCTAATTCAAACTCTTGATAATTACACGTTAAATCGACTAAAATATCCTGAAATCCAAGTGTACCTCGACAGGTGAGTACTATTGATTTAGCATCGTGGTCAACAGCTACGTAATGAACTAATGGGCATATCTTATTATCATCACTGTTGAAACCAACAGGTGGATCAGTGTAGGATGATAACAAAATTGCATCGATTGAGATATTATTGTGATAAGCGAATGCGTGATGATTGGCGTGATGATCACCCTCTCCTAGTGGTAACTTATCCCAATCACATTTACCTATTCCTAATATTCTCATGAAGGATTTCCCATAAGCTGCTGATGAGTACCTCATAAATCTGTGGATATTCTTCACTATATGCTGTCTTGGCCAGTAAACTCCCTGAGAAGTTTCCTCAACTGCATCCTTAACTGGTTCAGCTCTTGGTTGATGCATAATGCGCCTCATATGTGGTAATGTCTCCTCAGTTACATGATTAGCCCTACATACCGGTGATGAGGGTGGTGCAATTGGCTGTTCATCAATATTTGAAAATTGTGGTAATGCTAAATTATCTGCTGCGTTCTGTACATTATTTATGGTATTATCGAGATATTCCTTATCATTCATAATTTGATTTGGATGGGTATGTGTACCAATCGATTTATTACGTTGGTGTGATTTGGTGTTTTGTAGTGGTGTACCACTTTTATGGTTATTGATATGTGTCATTCTTAACTCTGGTGTTGACATTTTTCTGCTTAGCTTATAATTCGTAGGTTCTAACCCGTTAATTTCGATCTTCCTTGCTACATGCCTCTGGGTGAGCCTAGTCGTAACTGTTCTTAATACATTTTGTAGTTTTTCTTTACTTTCACCTGGATGACTGAGAGCATCAGCGTATGATTCTGATGCAATTGAAAAACGTTGTTTTTCAGTCGTCAACGATGGTAAACAGCTAATTGAACTGTAACTAGGGAAATATGAAATGGATTGATTTTGTGCCACCTGATAGGGTGTTTGTGGTGCTGATCGTGGTTCCACTGGAAATTGTACAGTGTTTGTTTGATTATGGGTTTTACCGTTCAGCTCACCATTCAAGTCGTTATATTCGTTGTTTAAGCCATTGAAGTTCATATTTCGCGTTTCAGTCGTAACAATCTGTTCCTCATTCTCCGTAATCATTTCCCATATTGTCTTCTTAATAGTATCTGAATTATCACAATCGCAAACCTCATCCAATCGATTGTCATTGACGTATGTCTCACCAAGAAGCTCCGTTAATGTTGTTATCAAGTCCTTACGTTCGTCATTGGAAAGATTACGCTTGTGGTATTCTCTACTAGTCTTTGCTTCACGTGATGACAACATATTCCCACTCTTTTTCTTCATAATTGAGTGCTCCATTGACCTCCCATGGTCTGGTTGGGAAGCAGGTGACTGAGTTCTCGATGATGTTGAGAGAGAGGAACCGCTAGATGACACATTTTTGTATCTATAAGATTCCAATACGGCAGCAAGGCCTGCTAGAGTATCTCCAACTGACTTTGGCTTCTTTTCCATCGTTGGTGTTGGGTTGCTGTCCATTGTTCTATTGACAACCACACAATCCCAAACGACTTTCATATTCTGACTTTCAAGTATACGTTTCTGAGTTGCATTCTGTAAACAAGCAAAAGCGGTGAAAGCTTTAGTGAGAGCCACTACCCAGGACATGTAGGACATATTCTTTGGTGCTTCATTCTCTTTACTCATGAAGCTAATTATTGAGGATAATGCCCGAGAGGTCTGCGGACACTTGTTAACTAGAAAATTAAACAAAACCTCTGCTCACCTCATTTGATCCGAATACACCATCAAACACTGAGACACTGTCTTGTGCCAGCGTAAATGATGTCTTAATAGTTTTTTGTGTGAGATAAAATCCAGCGTGAGCAAAGAGCTCGGCGAGAGTGAATGAGTGATGTACAACGTAGATTCCTGGTGATATCATAAGCGACTTTAATCAGTCATGCGGACACTCACCCAAACCAGTGTAACCTTCTAGTAACTTCCTGTGTACTTCATCAGGATTTGCTGTGCTACTACAGTTTATACCGAGCGCAGCTAGACCAGTTGAGAGTGACAGTTTATCCAAATCTATGTAATCTGAGCTCGGATCGTAACGTCTGAGAGCTGAATTTATGGCTGTTATCGTAGCTCTTCTAGCAATATCAATAGAAGAGGTTGTTGTATTCCTAAATCCATCCAAGAATAATTCAATCAGGAAAGCTGCGGTCCTTAAACTAAACTTTGTTGATAAGGCTATCGCAGTGATGGACTGGGCGAATCGGGTGGGTAGTAAGGTATTATCGTTAATTGAGAAAGTTAGTTTGTCATTATCATTCATTTGATTGAGCTTTTCGAGGATAACCTTTAAGATGTTGGTGGTTCATCAACAATATACAAATTCATTACAGGGGCATTACAAGAATGTTATTAAATGTTTAAATAGTATAAATTAGTTAATTCCGCCTGTCTATATGAGCTCGTCAGTAGTTGCCGCTGGCGTACATCCATCGACGTACCTTGAGATCGACGAGTCTTGCGGAAATATCTTCCAATTGAGCTTCCAGCTTTAAAATTTCAATCTGACGATCAGTATGTGCTACTTTATTCGCTTTCTTTTGCAGCTGTAAAGGTGTTATCGGCATGAACACTTCCGAGTTATTTAGCCACCCACATTGGTCTTGTTGAACTCATTCATAGCTTTGAGCTGCTGCATAGTGAGTTTGCCATTCTCATTATCTAAGTTCTGGAATAGTCTACGTCCAATTGAGAAACGTCTCATGGTCACGTTACACGATGGTATGTTGTGAAGTGGGGATGTTTATCAAACCTAGACAACAAATTATTTAGCTGGATAGCTCAATTATATAGTGGTTTTTGCATATTCTACTTCCCTCGAAATTAATTTCGTTGGGGTGTCTTCCCCAACAATGTCAATCGCTTCTCCAGATTTCAGTTACACCGCGCCTTTCCTAATAAACGATCAACATTAATACCAATATGGATTTGAATTTTAACTGTGGAGTAAGTTTATAACACTCTAATAGCACAAATTATCTTACAAATATTCCAGATGCGTCGCGGAGTTATGCCAAAATCAACAAAGCTCAATCCTTTCTTCAACGCTTACCAACAGAAGCAACAAAAGCAACCTCAAAAAAGGAAAGGCTTTGACATTATCTGTAACAACATGCCAAAGGAATTCTCCCTTAATTTGACCCAAGAGGAAGTGAGTCCAGGCCCTTGGATTTACTCGTGTGAACTAACGATATTTCTCTAGCTTGCAAGAAGATAAACGTCAATCATTACTAAACTTATTGCATAGGCCTTTCGCGCATTACTATACTCCAATTGCATTTTAAAGTCATTGTATCACTGTAATTCTTACTCAAACTAAAGAACAACAAAAATGGAAATATCTAATCTTATGTCTTTAAACTGATATGCTGATGGCGACATTAACGAATGATATGTGGTCTATTTGTGATTATATAGAGGATGATAGATTTCACGATAGAAGTGACGCAAGGTCCCATAAACCATGCAAGACCACAAGAGCATTTAAACCAATTACTTCCTATCATATAAAACCAATTCATCTCGTCAAATTGGTGATGTTTTGATATTGACCAATAGTCGATACAAGTGCCGAGTTATAGTCATATAGGCCATAATGATACCCTATAGTATAGTATATATGTAGTTACCGTAATAAATACCCGATATTCCGTACCATCTCCTATAAAACTGTAAACCAGTTGGAGGACAAGCATACCCTCTGTTGGCAAATACAGTCACATCCAAGACTGATATGTTACTTCTTTAACCTATTATCTCACTTTCCAACTGATTGTCAAGATTATAGGCGATTTTCGAGATGTTGCTATGTGACAATCATACGATACCATAGGAGACATGAAAGTAGATACACGCCAGCTTTTAATGAACTATCAGCTAGCACCGTGCTCCAAGATATTACTGGTAAGATGAAATATCAGCTGAGAAAACATCACCGTGAAGGAGATGATGAATGTGCATGAGATTATTAATAACTAACAAAATAAATTACGAACACCATACATCAGTTCAATTGTTCGATTACTCAGCAATACAAATCAAATTACACCTCAGATTGACTTACTATTACAACAACCTATCAATGAGAGCAGCTTACAGGTAAACCTTGTTAAACTATCGTTACCTCATAAACAATATGACAGCCTTTCATCATCATAAACTGCATACTTTATAATAAATAGGTGGCCATCACTTACAGCTACAGAAACTTACTAACGAGAAATCGCGATATCGAAGAGAAAATGGTTCAGGAGTGTCTCCTCGATGACAGTTTACTAGTTTAAGAGAGTGATAGAGGAAGAATACGGCAACTGTGAAAACTCTCACTTAATAAGATTATGATGGAATTAGATTAGAACATGAGTATTATAATTCATTCTCCTTTAAAGTTGGGTTGATCTGCAAGAGTACTACATGAACATGGAGTATTATTACCTTCATTTTATTACGATCTATGTCTAGAGATGCGTTTATAAGCCAATTGTGTTATAACAAATACGTTATTGCAGCGAAGTATCGTCATTTTTAAGTAGATTTTCATTCAATAGAATCTATATGCTACCTGTATAAAGTAAATATATACATATACATGCATATACGCATTCTAATCATACTTCCTATACACTCCTCTTTATACCCAGATTTTGTTTTAATTTACACATAAATATAGAAATTTACAAATTACGTTGATTTTAGTTTTTTGTGGTTAAATTCTTATGTTTAAGTTTGCTAAAATACTCTATGATAATCTTCTTAGAAACTTCTTATGAGCGTGACAATATCACGATTAGGACTTCCAACTTGGACCAGAAGATGTATTACCAGTCTGCCAGCTTGGCTTCTGTTCACCGTTTACGCCATTAGCTCCACTTGGTGATGTTGGTGAGTAAGCAGGTGAAGCTGGTGAGTATGCTGGCGAGGCTGGAGAGTACGCTGGTGAAGCAGGTGAATAAGCCGGTGAAGCAGGTGAGTACGCAGGTGATGCTGGTGAGTCTAAAAATGTATATCAGTATTGTTGCTCTCTTTCACTCTATCTACTTACACGCTGGACTTGCTGGACTGTACGTTGGAGATGTTGGACTGTATGCTGGTGAAGCTGGAGAGTCTGTTGGGGAAGTTAGTGAAATTCAGACTTTGCAAGTATCTTGACTCACATCGTGGCGATGTTGGTGAGTATTGTGGTGATGTAGGAGAATATTTTGGAGAGGTCGGAGAGTCTATTTCATGTCAGCAAAACATAAACAAAAAAAAGTTTCCACTTACACTTTGGAGATGATGGGCTGTAGGCTGGACTGGCTGGACTGTAGCGTGGTGAAGTTGGACTATATGATGGTGATGCAGGAGAATATGTTGGGCTGGATGGACTGAAGCGAGGTGAGCTTGGACTGTAAGATGGGGAGCTGATTCCAACCATAGGTGACGAAGGTGAGTAACCAGGGGATGCTGCTGATTGTGGTACCCAAGGTGAAACTGCACCCCCAATCGCAGGTGAAGTTGCAGGTACATATCCTGGACTAGTTGGTGACCATGTTGGACTTGAAGGTGAATAACCAGGTGATGTAGCACCTCCAGTAACAAGTGGCGTCTGTCCATATCCCATATATTCAAAGTTAGATCCATCATCACCAGATTGAGCAATTGGTGAGAACTGTGCTTGATCATCACCGACAATCTGAGCTTCATAGGAATTCTTTCCGTATGAGTATGGTGTCATCTTTCCTTGTTCATCGACAACCATCGCTCCTTCAGCCATTTGAGCGTTCAATCTATGCGCTGGTAGTTTTGGATCAACAACTACGTCCTTAAGCATATCAATGTCAAGTGTGACATCAAATGCACCAGTTCCCATAGGTGCCATTTGACCAAGTAGGACATTCTCTGCAATACCATGGCAATCATCCTTTTCACCAATCGCGGCAGCTTCTAAAAGAATTTCAACAGTTTCTTCGAAGGAACAACGCATGAGTGCACCAGTGTCAGCTCTATTGATACCGTGTCTAGTGATAGCCATAAGTCTACCTCTGTTTGTCATCAAGTCACATAACAATGCTAAGTGACGGTAGTTAACGTAAGAACCGTCGAATTCAATAACGTTACGTAATTCCTTAAGAATTGCGTTACGTGCAGCTTCAATACCAAGTACTTCAAAGATTTCTTGGCAGTGGTTAGAGTATGTACGTGTGCCATCGACATGTTTAACAGGTAAAACTTCAGATAAGTTAACACCATCAGTTTCCAAAACCCATTCTTGTTGTCTCTCAAATCTACCACCTTCTGCAATAACTTCCTTCTTACGCTCAACAATGAAAACCCTGGTAATACCTTCAATACCACGAAGAGAGATATTTGAAAGCATATTGTTTTCAATCTTTTTCAAGAATACATCCTCCGAAACGCCATCATCCTCTTTAGTTGTTGGATCATCACCAACGATTCTAGCTCTGATGATCAGCTTTTCAGCTGAATCTTCAGAGTAAATGACGAAAAGGTCATTTTGGAAAAGACTGGCAATCTTGCCAGCAACGAAGTTCATCTCTAATCGCTTGTCAAGCATTTTCGCACGATCCAATTCCAAACGTAACAACCAAGGGGATTGCTTGTTGATATTCGCTGCGACTTCTTCATCTGGAATGGCGAAGTACGCTTCAACAAAGTCACGATCCTCATCAACGATAGTCGTTGTAGGATCAGGATCATAAATAATTTCGGTCGCTGCTGTAATGGTTTTAAGTGTCGTGTGTTCCAACTCCGCTTGAACATTCTTAACGGCAACAATATCTCTAGAAGTTTCTTCATCTAAGTAGACAGTAAGAGATGGCGTCTTAATGTTGGTAGCCACGTTAATAATTTCCTTCAGACGAGGAACACCAAGTGTAACGTTCTTTGACGAAACACCCGCATAGTGGAAAGTGTTCAATGTCATTTGAGTAGCTGGTTCACCAATAGATTGTGCAGCGAGTGTACCACACATCTCACCTGGTGCAACAATAGATTGATTGAAACGTGTCTCAATTTCACCAATAACCCAGTCAAATGCCTCCCTGTTAAGGTGATGCTCTTCAATAATAGACCTAACTGTCAAAGATGAACGGAGAAGGATGTTGAACAGTAATGTAGCATTCTCTTGAGCTTCTTGACTAAGGACGTCACTACCACGAATGACAACCAAACGTCGACAAAGAGCATGAACCTCGTCAACAATAGAAGCAGGATCAATGTCAGAAGGTTGACGACGATCAATGCGGAAAATTTGCTGTGCGTTTTGAATCGTACGACGAATATTTAAAGGTAATGGGAGTGTTGAATCACCTGGTCTGAACTTGAAGATGAATTCACGAAGTAACACACGATCATCAACGAGTTGTTTCCATTCAGCATCCAGCTTATCCTGGAGACCTTCGGCTGATTCAAGACCAACACGTAACGTACCTGGCTTAAATCCACGCACAGGATCTGTGAGGTCAATACGGAATTTTCTATCAAACTCTTCATCACTTGCACTCATACCAATAAAGTGTTGCTTTTCCATGGCACTACCATCCATACCATCTTCACCATAGGCGAATTGAAGAATGTCACCAAGTGAGTTCCTAACAGTACCATCGTAGTGAACCATAATATCCTCTAGTGCCTTAACAAGACGTCTTTGAACATAACCAGTTTCTGCTGTCTTGACAGCTGTATCGATCAAACCTTCACGACCAGCCATAGCGTGGAAGAAGAACTCAGATGGCGTTAAACCACGGAGGTACGAATTTTCAACGAAACCACGTGATTCAGGACCGAAATCATCCTTCGTGAAGTGCGGTAATGTACGATACTTGAAACCAAATGGAATACGTTTACCTTCGACAGATTGCTGACCGACACAAGCAGACATTTGTGAAATATTAATGCTTCAGAATGTGAGCTAAGTTATTTGTAAATAGTATATACCCACAAAGAACCTTTAGAACCGGCAACAACCATCTGTTTAACGTTGTTGTCGTCTTTGAGAGAATGCTGCGCAGATTTACCGACTTGATCACGAGCTTGGTTGAGTTCCATGTTGACACTCGCTTCAAATGATTCACGGATAGTCATACCAGCTTGTGCCTCCAATTGATTAGATTCGGCACTTTGAATGATACCTTTAACTTTATCTTTGGCATCACCAATACGCTCAGTAATATATGCCATTGTTGACTTATCAGCGATAGTATCACCAATACCAATAGAGAAACCATGATGCAGCATCCAATAGTTAACGACAACTTGTAATCCAGACAAAAAGTCTTTACAGATGATGTGACCCTTCTCACGGAAAATGACGTGAACAAGACCACCTTGAGATTTACCAACTGTTGACTTATCGATAGCACCATACATAATGTTACCATCTTCGATACAAACACCTGCATCATCAACTGGTGCAGATGATTTCTGCTCGTTTGATCTGAAAACATTGATACCACGTGGAATACAGAGTGATAGTATCTGTTTACCAGTCCACAATGGCTTTGGTTTCATAATAGCTGGTGTTGGTACTATACCATCCCATCCTGGAACCCACATTAAGATGTTTGCAACTTGTTTACTATCCAAGAACGTATCTCGAAGTGTCAATTTACGAACACCACAGAGTGCATCCTGGACAATACCCATGACCGGAGAATTAGCTTGTGGAGAAACAATCTGTCTAGTGACTGATGCAATTTGACTCATTTCGGCTCTAGTTTCTTCAGATTGTGGTACGTGCAAGTTCATTTCGTCACCATCGAAATCGGCGTTATATGGAGGAGTGACCGATAAATTCAACCTGAAAGTTGAGTATGGCATTAATTTAACTCTATGACACATCATAGACATTTTGTGTAATGATGGTTGTCTATTGAACAAGACGAAATCACCATCTTTGAGATGTCTCTCGACAATCCAACCGTATTGAAGGAAAGTGTCCGCACGTCTATTATAACGCAAATCTATACGTTCACCTGTGTCACGAACAACATAACGAGCACCTGGGTATTCATTTGGACCATTTCGTACCAATTCTTGGAGGTAGAGAATGTTGTAAGGTGTTACGCGTTCTGGATAAGTGAGTGTCCTTGCAATTGAGAATGGTACACCGACTTCATCAAGTTCAAGATTTGGATCACCAGTGATGACAGTACGTGCGGAGAAATCGACACGTTTACCCATGAGGTTACCACGAAGACGACCTTCCTTACCCTTCAGACGAGCTCTGATCGACTTAATAGGACGACCAGATTTTTGCATTGCTTGAGGTATACCAGCGATGTCATTATCCATATAAGTAGCTACGTGGAATTGAACTAATTGTTCATTTTCACTAATAATGTGCGCTGGAGCGCCTTCAGATTCGAAACGACGAAGTGTTGCAGTGTATTTAAGGATATCGGCGAGCTTATATGTCAGATCATCTTCTGAGCGGGTAGCACCACCGTCGACGGCAATTGAAGGACGGACTGGAGGTGGAGGAACTGGGAGAACGGTGATAATCATCCAATCTGGACGAGCGAATTCAGCTGAAAGACCCATCAGGGTTATGTCACTATCCGGAATCTTTTTAAATAACGTGTAAACTTCTGCAGCTGAAAGCTGACGCTTATCCTGCTGAGCTTTCGTGTCATCCTACAGGTTGTTAGAAAGGGATAGAAGCGCTTCATTGAATACTCGCCTCCTCATCATGTTTTTGTTGTTTGTTCACAGAAAACAACTTCAATGCTTCCCTTCTGATAGCTGGTTGTAGACGACCACAACCACCGTGACCTGGTTGAGATGGTGGTGCATCCTCACCATTCTCATTTGGTTCGTCCGGTTTACAAATACTGATTTTCGTACAGTACGCGTGTACAGCTTCAAACCGCCTCTTTCCCACTGGAACGGTGCGAACTATCTTTGCGAGTTCTGGGTCATTCTGGAGATGCGTTAGTCTGTAAGCGTAGATATAACGATAAACAAACTTCATCCGCCAATAATCTACCACAATTAACACAAATACTTTCAATGATTTTTTTGATTTTCGTCAAGAAACCTGAGAACGGAGTCAGCTGACAGTGTGCCTACGCACAACCACACGTACCAATATGGAATGCCGGCCTGGCTAACTCGATATGTCCAAAATGGCCTGGACACTCAGCCATACCTTCACCGCAAGTCTGACACTTGAAATTTCTGATAGAGCATTAGAGGGCGTATACTAACATCCCCTAATGCACTGACCTGTCAATTGTTCCCATACGGGGATCCATTAAACCGCCTTGACGCGGTCTACCGGTAGATTCATCGATGACTTCAGGGTGGATAATCTGAGCGACGGATAGAGATTTCTGCGGATTGTTATTAAATGGGCAGCAGAATAGTTAATTATCATACCATCTCCTCCGGACTCATCAAACCAAACTGGACCTCTTTGATCCCTTTCACTGGTCTGAAGAGATGCGTGAGATTTACGATATAATTTATTGATTAATTTATACTAACGCAGCACTGTGACTGAATTGATGTCCCAAACTCATTTTTAATCAATTTTCCGCCAACTAAACGATGGCGTACAAGTTGAAAGAGTATACCTTCCAACTTGCTCGAATGTCAGTTAATTTAAATTTTTATATTCTTTTTATTTAATAACCATCTTATATCTATCATCCTAGATATACATCTCTCAATATTCACTACTCTATAGCTTAGTCACATCGTGGCAATCTTAGTTTCACTCCAATTATCAAATATACAAATATTACAACAATTTACTAAAAATTTATTCACCAATCTTCTTCTTCTCCAGCCGCTATCGCTTCCAATTCTGCGTATTGGTGGTCTATCACGCTCGACACACTCGCGACGCGCGTCTCTGGTTTGAAACTACTCCTTCTGGATTTTTTACTAGGCATAGTTTTTGATCTCGCCTGCGCCTGCGCTGGCTTTCCGAATGGATCATGGCCATTAGCCGGTGATTCTGCCACAGAGGAGAGTGCTATTGGGTACCGCGGTGGTGCTTGCTTATTTACCATTCTTTTTGGCTTTATAGCTGAATTGTGGGAATGTGTAGACTTCGTTATACTATTCACAACGCCCTTGTTACTTTCAGCTGAACCTACTCGCATGCGTTTTGCAGATGGCGCTGGAGTTATGCTCTCCTGTGGTGCGTGAAGTGGTTTTCTCTTGTTCGTCGTTGTTGTCGAGTTTGTGGAACCATTCAGGGATGAATTTGACGCTTTGCGGGTTACTGGTGGTGGTCCTCCACCCTTACCCTTACGCTTGTTCTCCTTCTCTTGGGCTTTACTTGCTATACGCTGCTTGAGAGTCTCTGCAAAGTGCTCGTCGTTTATGAGGAACATCCTAGCGTTCTCATTTTCCCAGCTTTCGAGCATTTCCAGGAGGTCTGCCTCAATCTGAGGTCCTTGTTAGCGTGGTTTACAGTACACAGAGAAAGACTTACTTGAGATTTCTTGGCTACCCTCTTGCGCATCTTTTCTTCACGGATAAGACGACCTGGGTCTCTCGGTCCGCGACCTAACAGCCGTGATGCATCATTTGCACTTTCCTGGGAGTGTGTTAGCCAGTACTCAGAGGTCGTTATAAGGATACTCGCCTGTAATTGTATCTCCTCGGATACGATCTGATTGTATAGATGCACCTTCGTGAGTATCTTTCCTTTCGTGTTCTTCTCTTCTTGTAATACAGCAAGTATGTTTTCATGTTCAGCAAGGCATTCATCGTTGAATGAGTCTATATAATGTTAGCATTGGTTGTAATACTAAGCTCGACAAACCATCTGTAAAAGCAGTGAATTGGGATCGCTCATTTGATCCAACCTGCATATAATCCCATAGTTTCTCGATGTCTCCACGTATACGCTGTACAAATAATGCCATATTTTCGCGTTTCAGCTCTAACATTCTATCCAATTCCTGATGATAGGCTTCAATAACGCCGAGTGTACTTCCCATGTTGGTATTAATAAATTGCTCCCTTTGTGATTCATCTACATCTAATTTATCCCAGAGTGGATTGAGCTGGTCATAGACAGTCTGAATCTCCTCTTCTCTACGAATCTTCTCATCTTCAAGGCCGGCTCGTAAAGATTCCGTGTGTTCAAGAAGACTGTCAGTTGGATTAAGTGTCTCAACAAGAATGTCTATAATATTCTCATCCTCAGTTTCTATCAATTTTGGTAACTGAGGATAGAAAGACTCCTCGAAAGCTACTATAGCTTCGTCTTCACTGTTTGAAGCTTCAGGGAGGGGCTCTACTATTTCTATAAGAGAGTTGCTTAATCCGATTAAGCTTGTCTTGAAGGCATCTTTCCTCCTCGCAAGCTCACCTTCTGCGCGTTGTATATTCTGTTCCATAGTACGCATACTAAACGAAGTGACATCCTTGAACTTGTCTTCTGACTCTGGTGGAAGAGTTACCAATTTATCACCCAAAACTGCATGTAATTTGCGAAGTCTGTCGAGTAAACCATCTAATTTAATAATTCTTTGATCGTATGTGGCTGTATAAGTGTGGAATTCTTCCTTTAATCTATCTCTCCTGGCTGTTAACGACTCCGGTAGATCACCGGCCTTGAAGCGTGTCTTGCGTTTTCCATCTTCACCTAGCGCCAGACGAAGATCGTCTACATCGCTAACGAGATCGTTGCACTCCTTGCTTAATTCGGCTGCGTCTCTCTGCCTCCTGCTGACGACATCCTTGGCTGCTTCTCTAGCTTGGTCAACGAGTTTTTGAGTGAGTGCTTGAATGTGAAGACGAGCATCTGAGAGGTCCTTCGGTGTGCTCTCAGGCGCGTTACCGATCCTTTCGTGTAACTCAGTCAGCACTTTCGCAGCTGGTTCTAATAAAGCATTAATGAATGGTTCAAATGAAGGTGGTGCAGCATCTATTTCTTCACCCTTATCGTTTTCCGTCAATATTTGCCGTTCTATATTACTATTAGGGCTTGGTGATACAGGTAATGATGACATTAAATAGCAAACACTAATCTCACGCGTAAAATTGACAAAAAGACGTGAAATTATAATAATTATCTATAAAATTTACTAATTAATTATATTCTACGCGTTTATCGCTCTATAGTTTATCACTTCCGCTTCTGTTTGCTACGTCTCTCTCAATATCACGGCCATATAGTATACCCTGAGAGATGAATTTAATTTATATATTATCAATTATAACGTTCACAAATGCTATCAGAGTTGCTATAGTTGGCTCAGGCGCTGCTGGATCTACAGCTGCGTATTATCTAACTAAAGCTGCTGAGCAGAATGCGGGAGATGTAGATATAGATGTATTTGAGAAACGCTATGTAGCTGGTGGAAGTGAGTTTCTTGCATTATATATATATATTACGTTAATTTCATTAGGATCTCGTGTAGTTTTCCCACATAACAATGAAACATATGATTCCGTCGAACTTGGTCGGTTTATCTAGCATATTATATAGTAATACGTACTGAGATATGATAGGTGCTAGTATCTTTGTTGATGCTAACAAGGTGTGTTTCAATCTATTGTTTCACTACATTTTCAGCTCATTTATACAAGAATATGGTTAAAGCTGTCAATGATTTCGACTTTGACCTCGCAGATAAAGGCACAGATGGTTTTGGCATATATAATGGAAAGAATTTCGTCTTCAAATCATCATCATGGACCTATCTAGATTACGTCAAGCTGATCTGGAGGTATTAATACAACTAAGATTTTACTTCATGTTGACACTCCGTAGGTATGGTTTCAGTGCACCTCGTAAAGTTCAGACGCTAGTGAGCATCCATACGCATTCTCAATTACACCCCTAACCAAATTCATCCAGGTAAAGCAAGCCATTGATAAATTTCTACTTCTCTATAATCCAGAATTCATACGCAACCACGGTCCCTGGGAACACGTAGATGATATGCTTGCTGATCTTGATATGATCGATCTAGTCAAAGAAGATGCTCTGTCATACTTCACGAACAGCCTATTCGCTAATGAGGTCGTAGAGGCAGCTACACGCGTCAATTATGGCCAGAACCTCGACACTATTCATGCCCTAGGTGCATTGGTTAGTATGGCTGGTAGTAATGGAATGGTGCGATGATTCTTCCACATTAATAAATAAGCTAACTGAAGTAGTCAGTAGAAGGTGGTAACTACAAAATCTTTGAGCGTTTTCTAGAAGAGTCGAATGCTCATGTTCATTTCGGTTCCGAAGTTATCGATGTCCAAAGGTCCCGCAATAACCAATGGGAGGTATACCTCACGTCTGGAAAGACTGCTGAAGATTATGACTACCTCATTCTAGCCGCTCCCCTGCCGATCTTTCAGGTACCATATGTAAAACTTCATGTTACGCTACTCACGACAAACGCAACGACGTATGCAGATAATGCACTACCAGGGCTAGGAGAGAACCCTCCTACTATGATACTGACGACTAACGAAGAAGCCAGGAAACACTCCAGTTACTTTACCAAGCCAAGCCCGCTTAATTTCAATAGCATAAACTATGTACAGCAGGCAAAGGAGGGCAGTGATGAACATGTGGTGAAGATATTTTCAGAGGATGACGATGCTTGGAGTGATGGCGATCTGCACAGCCTTTTTGGCGGTCCGCAAAACGTGAGATGGATACATCGCCACACATTCAACGCGTATCCATACCTACAGCCAAGGAAGCAGATCGAGGACCTCCCGCCGTTTAAAATCGATGAAGGGTTGTATTATACCAACGTGATGGGTGAGTTACCATCAGCTTTTATGATCTCAGTGCTGATCTTATGTCAGAACCAATGATATCGTAAGTTACAAGTGAATGTCTTAGTACACCGCTTATTCAGCAAAGGACTATGGAAACGGAGACTATTTCTGCTAGGAATGTAGTCGGATTGATATCCGCCAAGCTGAATTGGACACGTGGTTGGAAAGACGCCTGCTTAAATACAAATTCTGATTGGGTATTTATAAGTTGTTGATTGTACAGCATTATTTTATTTTAAGACAGGAACGACCACTTAGTTACGCGTTCGAGACTTATAAAACCGAATTTGGAATTTAGTCTGCTTCTTATTCTGGAAGTTAATTATTTCCTGAAATTAAATTTACTTCCTAAACTTTCTACAAGCAAGCAAATGATCAATATCGCTATAATAGGTAGTCTCCTTGCAGGTGCATCTGCCCAGGTCTACCCAACTGGCACCATGGGTCCAACAAACCCAATGCCAACTATGGACACTGCCATCAACCAAGGCAGTGATGCACGTCTTCTCTCCATCAACGGTCCAGATGACTTCTGCTTGTTCGCACCACAAGAATCCGGTCCAGAAATTGGTGAGTTCTGCGTTTATTTGTAGAATACTCCAATTAACGTCTACAGGTGATGTTGAAGGCGAAGTCGTCGCGTGGTGCACGAAGCCAAGAAACAATGCAAGACTTATCCCAGACGGTACAATCACGGCCGTACACTATCAAAAAACACCTGCATTCGTCCAAATCTCTGCTTTGGGTGATTTCACAAAGGTCAATGTATTAAGCGGCGATGCTGGTGGTGAGTTAGACCCTCACGGTGCAACAGGTGAAGGAAACCCAATCGGCGGTAACGTTACCGCCTTAGTCAATGGACAAGAACAAAGCTACGAAGAGTGGATGTCTTTCCAGAGTGACTCTATGTTCTGCGCTCGTATCTGTACCAACTCACCTTACAACGGTTGGGATGCTGCCACATGGTGCCAACACGAGTTAGACGAGATGGGATGCGAATATGTAATTCCAATGAGCTACGAAGATGGTGTATTCGACAGCTGTGATGCCGATGCCGGTTTCCCACCTGGAGTATACCCACAAGATGGTGACAACTACTCTACCTTCCACCAATATTATGAAGGTACATACACCGGTGGTGACGGTCTCGTAACTAGCTACACCGTTGGTACTACCGTTACCCCAACTGGTCCAGCCACCACTCCAGCTAGCTCAAACTGCACACCAATGCCATCACCAAGCCACGGTATCGACATTGCAAACCCAACCGTTGACTACCCAGCAGCACCAACTCCAGTCGCTCAAGATGATGTCCGCTACGACTTGAAATTGCACCCATCTGGTGGCTCTGAATGTCTTGGTTTAAACGGTGACGTAGGAAATGATGCAGCTCTCGCCGTAGTTTCTTGCGATAACGCACCAAGCTGGTCTATCAAGCGTGGTGGCCCAACCCTCATCCGTTACGCTCCAGACAACAACTACTGTGTCGACGCTGGTGACAATGCCGGAAAGGTATACACTTGCTACACTGAGCAACCAAACCAACAATTATACTACACAGATGACAACAGAATCGCTAAAGATGGCGGTTTATGTTTGACTGATGATAATGGATCAATCAGCTTCACTGGCTGCACTGATAACAACCAAAGCCAAGTTTTTAGCGCTTAAGCGATTCGAATTGTTTGAAATTCTTTTACATTAATTGACAATTCATTTAATAACATCCATATTTTACGGATATCTTTGAACAATATTAATAATATTTTAAAACAAACTAGGACATTAAAAATTTTTCTTGTATGATTAACATTCATTTGATTAGAAATATATTAAAACAATAACAACCTATACGGATAGTAATATATTAGTCAGAAAACTCTTCAATTTCTTCGTCAATCTCATTTTCATATCGTTCGTTGTCATAATTGTGCAAGTCGATAGCACCAAGGGCATCTTTAAGGGTGTGTAATTTAGCTTCATTGTTTTCAACAGTGAAGTTCATTATATTTCGGATATCTGTGTTTTCATCTTCTGGTATCTCATTGTCATTTTCTGCTATAATGTCCGATTTAAGGTTATCGAAGCGCTTATCACCGAATTGTATCATATTTCTAAGTGATTTTTCAATATCTTTTGCTTGATTTACTATCAGCTTTAATGATTTTAAAGAATTTTTCACTCACGTTCCCAAATTCTCGATAGCATGGGTAGAGTATCAACTATGATGGCATTTGTATCTACCTGCCCATGTATCGTTACTGCAAGTCGGGAATTTTGTTTAATACTCTCAATTCCATTCCGCCGCTCTTTCTCAGCGAAGAAGAAAGCTGGTTTGCGTATCTTCTGTCCTCGTTTGATTGACGGACATGGTAACGCGTGTAGGGTTTTTCTGATGACATATTCAAACACACTTGCAGAAAGTTGTTTTGACTGTACATGTAAGTAATGAAAAGTCTCTTTGTAATTCACTCACATCATTATATCCTATAGATGTCGAATCAGACCAAGAAAGGGCATCAGCAACAACAGCTGCATCATCACAATCCTGGTTGAATGCTGGGTAATTATGCGATAAGAACAGCAAATACGTCTCGACATCAACCGGTATATCTTCATATAACCTCGTGGGGTGGACATGAGAAGGCGCTCTGCGCTTATATTCGAGATGCTCCGGTAGTGAAACATGAGGAAGATCTTCACATGAACAAACTTTATCTTCATCATCAAAGCCATGTCGCTTATTACGAAGAACTTTCGCAAGCGAGTGGAACAAATTGAGAGATACTTCTCTCCTGGCCAAGACATCTAGAGTTTTTTCCATATCAACGCGCGTACTCTTTGACAAAGGTTTAGCTTTTCGCTTGTGTCCACCTGTAGACAGACTTCCTGGCAAGGCCATCTGGGATGCGAGCTGGAGTGTATTGATAGCAGACCGGATGTCACCACTAGCGGTATCTATTATCACATCAATGGCTTCATCGTGGGGTCTCTTAAAGCTGCCGTATGGGTTATCATCTCTGTGCCGATCAAGCAGGGCATTTAGATGTTTCTTTAAGAAGGTTCGTGCGATCGGATTGAAGTGGATTGTCGTGCAAAATGGACCATCAAGGATATCTCGAGGGACAACCGTTCTAGCGTCAACAACATCTCTGTTCGTAGTTTGAACCATCTCGTCAGCATTTCCACCTGTTCCTCTCACGCCAGAATCTGAGACGATAATAACAATAGGGACATTCGGTGTTCGTCCATCCAGACAATGACCACGGAGTGCATCGTGGCTTGCTTCACGTGTGGTATACTCTAAAACATTTGGTAGATCTTCAACTAAAATTAATTGCTTATTGCTTCTCTCATTGTCGAACGATAAGGGTTTATATGTTGCTGATTTACCTAGGAAGTTTGAGAAACGCTTGCTTGTACTCTCGCCATATTCATCTTCGTTGGAATACTTATAAGTCGACTCATTGAGGTATTCTATCACATCGACGTTCATCTCTTTCGCGAGGAGTTTAACAGCTGTTGACTTCCCACATCCAGCTGTACCTGTTAATACTAACAGCTTCTAGAAAATAATTAGCAAACATACTTGTAAATAACATCCACACACTCTATATTTACTCAACTTCGTATCACTAAATGACTCTTCTAACCAATGTCTCAAATCGCCAACTTTGCGTGAATGTACGGCAAGCTCAGATACCTTACTAGGCGCGTAAAATTCTGACCACATTGACGTTGTCGTCTCGGATTGCCGATATTTGCCCTTATCAATGCTATTCCTATTCGAGGAACTGGAAGACTTGGATGAAGGAATATTGTCATTCTGGAAGGTACCATTATTATCTTCTACTAATGTAGATCTCACAGATAGACTTCTCTGGGGTTTAAGAAAACTCGTTATTGACGCGTTGTTTTCACCGCCGAAAGACAATGGACGCTGTGAGGCAGATGGCTGTATATGTGTACTAGATAAAGATGAATTTGAAGTATTCTTACGCCTTGAAGTTGCCCTCGTTCTTGGTGGCATATTCTTGAGAATAAACTACCAAGAAGTATATTTGTGAGCGGAATGAATTAAATAAATAATTAAAAATTAATAATCCAATTGAAGGTATAATGGCAGACGCAGAAGATATTGATATCTATGGAGATGACCTTGGTGGTGGTGATGTGAGTTTCGCTATAAAGGATAACGATAGAGCTAAATCGAGTACACAGCCAGGTGATATTTACGGTGGATTAGATGATGCACCAGCTGCACCAGTTGAAGATTCAAGGGACGATGTTAAATTTACTATCAGCGATATTGCACAACCAAAAGTCGAAGACGAGAAGCCAAAAGGAGTGCGTCGTTAATTGGTATAGCGCTTTCATACTAATATACCCCTTAGGAAGTTCTACCAACTGCGATAACAAGCACGCCTGTCTTCAGATCCGAACCTTTGCCGTATAACTACAAACCATTAGCTGCACTCATGTTTAACGAACTCCATTGGTACACCAAAGATGAAGATTTGATGACAACAATTGACGATCTGGGTATTAGAGTGAGACATCAGGATATTGCATTTGCAGAACACAAAGTAAACGGGAAGAGTAAAGGTACCGCATACGTTGAAGTGGCAAATAAGGATGCAGCAGAAAGGGTAAAGAGATGGTTTGAAACTCACGATTTTCAAGACAAGAGAATGCAAGTGCAACACACACCATGTGTCAATGGAAATCCATTTAAAACAATACCAAAGGAGAACAGCGGAAAGAACGCTAACCTTGCCTATCAAAATCAACAATTGAGTAGAGGATCATTTAGACCACGCGGTGGCAGTCGTCCTCCACCTTCAAACCATAGCAGACCACCAAGTGGTGGCGGTGGTGGTGGTAGTGGACCACCAATGATGGGTATGCCTAATATGATGGGTATGCCGATGAATCCCGCTATGATGCAACAGATGATGATGAGTGGTAGACCTCCATTGCCACACATGGCAGGTCCTAACAACTCGAACACGTCCCAACGCGGTCCATCAAGTTCAGAGGATCCAAGATTAGCAAAAAGAGCTAGACAGAACTAATCGTGTTATTTTATTTTAGTTTCCATTTAATCTACATTATTTATGCAAACGATCAAAGATACAAATATAAGCGGTGATGCCAATGAGTGGTGAGTATGTGTACAACTTCTGATGCTTACATCGGTTGAGTGAAGCGGAAGAAGTTTGTCCAGTCTTCGGATTGTGTGTTATACGTCGAATCTGGCAACAGTGACCAAAGATCTTGTTGTGGTACTGCATCTTGAGTGACAGATGGTTTTGTGTCGTCTTCAGGTGAAGAAGTAAACATATTAGTGAGTGGATTTGAGTTACCCAACATATCATAGTCAGTCAGTGTATTGATACCAGCCATATTGACATCATTATATCCCTTCGGCATTTGGCTTGTCGGAGGTTGTACAAACGTAGATTGTGGCATAACTTCAGATGATGTCGGTGCCGTAAAGTCAAAGTTCCCAGATGGAAATACCCCTTGATCAACTAAATTTGCCATTTCTGTGAGACTAGTCGTAGTATTTTCCGTAGTTGCTGTATCGTTCACCATATCAGGATAGAAAATATGCGTAGCCAAATC